TTAATTAAAATCTAATTAAGGGTTCCGTTGGCCTAATTGAGTGTTTAGCTTGATATTTGTGATAACTATGACTTATGTACTAGCATATGTTACTTTGGGACCATTTAGAGTTGTTTTAGAATTGAGAGATTTAATTATCATGATGTAATTAAATTCTACCTTGTTACACCGTTGATTGAATCATGTAATTGACATTGATAATATGTTTAAGGCATGATTTTAGGCTTATAATGGAATTATGAGTTTATGTTCCAATATTGAATTATATTGTTATAGCGTGTAACGAATCGCACACTGAAGATTCGATATGTGATGTTATTATAGTATGTAACGAATCGCGCTCTGAAGATTCGACATTGTCATCCTATAGTTGTTGTGGATTTAGAGCATGTGTTGTATGGTTACAACCTACTTGTGCATGAAGGTAGTTTCGTGTACTATTTAATACGTATACAAGATGTTAACTTATTTATTTTGGAGTTGCTTGGGACATTGTTAAGCTGTGATGGCTATGGTTTGGCTCTAGTACGGGGACAAGAGTCCTCTAAGTCAAAAGTTTGCGTGTTGGGTAGGCTGCCTGGGGGTTAGTAGCTCCAAATTAGCCCTATAAAGTTCGCGCGTTTGGTAGGCTGCCTGGGGATTAGTAACTCCAAATTTGCCTTGTCTCGGCGGAAATCCGAGCTGTGATGTCCAAGTCTTCCACTATTTGATTTCGCATTCAATTCCAAGTTGACAACCAATATTTAATTGTGACTTGTGGTTTTAGTAATTGGCAATTTGATGTTGTTAAGTACATCCATACTAAATTGATATATTTAGTTGATTTCACACTTTTAGATTGCTAGTTGATAACCTAGAGAATCTATGTCTTGATGTGTGGTATTAGATATTCTAATTATGCTAAATTGTTATATTTAGTTGATGTTGCATTTTAGACTTCAAGTTGATAACCTTGAGAACCACTATGTTGTTGCTTTGTGTAAGCATGCTCCTATGTTGTTACTTTGTGTAAGTATGACCCTATGTTGTTAAAATTGCATGAATGAGGTGATTGATGCTAGAAATGATCTTGGGTAGCTAGGATGCTCCCTGAGTCTCACCTTGACATAGACGTTAGGTGGAATGAACCACAATAATTAAATCATGCAACTTGTAAAACTTTAGGTCGATGCATGCTCATTTCCTACGAGTAGCTTTATGTTTCTCACCCCTACGATACTGGGGCATATTTCAGGTACAGGATACAAGATTGGAGATTGTAATTGCTTGGGTGATTTGCTGAGTTGAGCTTCTTTAGAAGCATTCTTGTTCACATGCAAGTGTTAGCATGTTCATGATTTGTCTATGAAATGTAATTTTTCTAACTTGGAGGTTTGACATGTCAAATGTTTTAAATGTATTGTAATGAGGCCATAGGCCATTGTAGCACATCTATTTTAACATATTACATACACTTGCATACTCACTTTGGCAAACAATACCTTCCTTAATGAAACAAAAACCTAAAGTTGCATATTTTTTAGTTTGACCCTATTCTGTTACAGGGGCATTTCGGGTATTTCACAATGAGTTTTTTTCATTTTTTCTTGCGATTCACGTAGAAAACTTGATTTTGAGGGGCATTTCTTTTTTGTGTTTTTTCAGAAAACATCATCTTGGCCCTCAAAAATCCATATTTTTTTAGAAAATCCTTGCTGCCAGGTTTTGCAAATTTTTAGTACAAGTGTAGTTGGTACTATTCATCGACTTTTTTTTTTAAATCGTCACGACTGATCCGAAACTTCCGGAGGTCTTGTGGGTGCATTTTAAGATTGAATTTTCAATTTAGGCAATTTAAAAACCTCCCGAAGCCCTATTTCCAAAACTTGGGCAGTAGCTCGAATTAGGATTTTTCCTCTTAACCTGATTTTCTTGGGGGCATTCTGGGCATTTTACAATGCATTTTTTTTTGTTTACGTCTAAAATTGGGGTAGGAAACTTGATTTTAGGGGGGGTTTCTTCTTTGAGTTTTTCCAAAAAAGTCCATTTAGATTCCCATTTTTACTCTCAGTTGCAGCAGTGGTGGGTTGTCCTCGTCGGACCGCCACAACATCATTTTTGTTTTTGACCTTTCTCCCCCGTCCGGACTCCAAATTGAGTAAACTTTTTTTTGAACTTGACTAATTTGTCATTTTCTTTCTAGTGGTGTACTCCATAGCACTTGAATCCACTTTTTGCAAAATGACCATTTTGCCCCTAGGTTCTTTTTGTCCGTTTTTGAAACGACACTTCTGCATTTGTTTCCTTTGGGTTCCGTGAGCTCATTGAGGGTTACATTGGTGTCTTAGAGATACATTATATCTTTAGAAACCATTATTTCACCTTTCGCGTCCGTATTTCGGATCCATTATCGGGTCATCTTTTGGTCATCATGACGCACCGGGTTTACAAAACTTGGGCCGTCACACCTACCTTGGCTTGGAAGATTGACCTAAGGAAAGCATATGATTCATTCCATTAGAGTTTTTTACTTAACCTTCTACAGCTTTATGGTTTTGATAATAAATGGATACAATGGGTTAACGAATGTATCACGACAGTATGGTTCTCAATTCTGGTTGATGGTACCCCATGTGGCTACTTTCAACCTCACAAAGGGTTAAGACAAGGGTGTCCTTTGTCTCCTTTACTTTTCACTTTGGTTACGGAATACTTTTTTGGTTTGGTAGAGTTTGAAGTAAGGAGAGGTACAATTATGGTTTCAGAGGCTACAAGAAGAGCAGGTATCCTTGTGACACATCAGTTTTTTGCTGATGATCTGTTACTTGTAGTTAGGGCTAATATGGCTTCTGTTATTACACTCAAGAGAATCATGACACACTTTGAAAAGGTGTCTGGTTTGGATATAAATAAAGAGAAGTCTAAATTGTTCTTCACTAGAACTGTCAAGAGGAAGTTATTTATTCTGAGGAGCTTGGGGTGTAAGGAGGGTCAGCTGCCTTTTACCTATCTTGGCTTACCTATTTTCAGATAGAATGCTTAGGAGGGGAAACTTTTCTAAGCTTCTGGATAAAGTTAATGCTTCAACAACTAGATGGAATGGGTTGCATATTTCAATGGCTGGTAGAGTGGAACTATGCAGAGCAGTGGTTACTCCTTTAATTTTATATTGGACATCAGTTTATACTCTCCAAGCTGCTATCACTAATCTTATTCAAAAGAGAATGAGGAATTTCATATAGGGGCATAATGATTCTACCAGGAAAATCCATGGTTTAAACTGGAAAAAGCTAGTTGCTCCTAAAGCAGAAGGAGGGATGGGATTGAGGAGAGTACAAGATATTACCTATACTTCTAAATGTGTTTTAGCATGGGATTTCCTATTATCAAAAGATAGGATTTGGGTGGCCTGCTATAAGAATTATTATTTACAGAATTCTTCATTTTGGAAGGTGATTCCAAAGGATTCTTTTTTATCATTGTGGAGGAGTATTGTGGCAGTGAGAGATATTCTGAAACTTCATACCAAATATGCTATTGGTGATGGCAATGGAATAAAAAAATTTCTTGATCCTTGGTGTGATGAAAATTTTTTATCAGATTTATATTGTCATAAGGTGTTACATCAATTAAGTAGAGATAAGAACAGATGCATCGGTGATTTTATTTTTGAAGGTCAGTGGGATGTGAATAAGTTTCCACTGGTTATGCAGTAGGACATACTTCAGCAGATTATTCATGGTGGGGAGGATAAAATCTCTTGGCAAGGTTCACAGTTTACCTTTAAATCAGCATGGAATGTTTGTCGAATGAGAAGGCAAGAGGTAAACTGGTGTGATCTCTGTTGGAATGGTGGTAGACACAAATTGTCTACCTTTGCTGTTCTGGTGTTGCAGAATTCAGTACTCATAAATACTTACTTGTAGGGAAAAGGTTATTCCTTAGCTTTGAGATGTATATTCTGTTGCAATATTGTGGAGGATAGGGACCATATCTTCTACTATTATGGTTTGCTTAGAAGGTTTAGGGATCTTTGGCAGACCTTTGTCATTGGAGGTTAAAGTCATAAACTTCAATCCGAGATATGGCTTTGGATTTTATAGTGCAGTTTAAGATTAAATCTCAGAGAACAAAGCTTTATAGGATGTTGTTCACTGCCACATTGTATTCTCTTTGGAAAGAAAGGAATGACAGAATGTATAATGGAACTTTTGTTTCTCCAGTTGAAATGGCTAAGAGTATTTTGTGGGAAGTAATGGACATCTTGGGGGTATGCCTCCAAGATGTTATTTCAACTCTTCATTAGTTTTTCTTCTAGAAGTTTGCCTAAAGATGTTTTGTTTTATGTCTTGATATGCCTTGATTGGGCTGTGTCACATGTGGGGTATGTCACATGTGTCTCTTATATTTGTTGGTTATATTTAGAAAAAAATTTCCTCCATTTAGGATATAAAATAAAATAAAATAAAATAAAATAAAAAAACAATGCGAGTAAAAAACAATCTAGAAAATAGGAAAAAGATATAAGAGAGAGGTCCTGGGGCTTAGATCACCACTAAGCTTCACTTCATCAAACACTAGCAATTGTACATTAATGGAAAAATTTAAGTTGTAACTTGTGTGTATGTGATATTAATTGAAACTAAATATGGATGGCAAATAAGTATAGATTGTCTAACCAATTTTAATGAATAACACAACATATCAAATGAGATCAATTTTCATTCAATTGAATCACAATTAATACACACACATATATCTAGAGACATACACTTTTTGCATTCACAAGTATGGAACATCATATATATATATATATATAGATGTATAGAATTAGAGAGAGAGGATGATAGTGTAGAGACAGAAAGAGAGGGAATTCTGCGGAGAGATGGGAAGAAGGAAGAGATGTGTTGTTCATTGACTTTTCTTTATGGTCCAAATGAAGCCACATGTCACCTTGTGGGTGGTTGCCACTTTATGCAAAATTACTTTTGTGCTCTTCCCCTTTCATTGCATTGCCAACTAGATCCCCAAAAATATCTATCTCAGTGTAGATATATATTTGTGTTTGTGTAAAAAGACTATAATGCCCCTCACTCAAAATGACAAAATCGAGAGATTCTCGAACCCAAAAATCGCCCCGACTTCCGAAGAAATTTCTTAAATAATTCCGTCACTTCTAATTGACTTAAATTAGATAAAAATATACCTATAAAGTTATCGGCTTAAGAAAATAACCAAAATGCCCTCAGGACCCGCATGGCATGCAAAACGAGGCGTAAAAAAATAAATAAATAAAAATTCAAAAAAATGCAAAAATAATTCGAGACATTACATATTCCATAACCGAGCTTCCCCAAAAATTATATTGCTTAGCATGTGCAAAAGATACAGGATCCTCTCCATCCTGTAAGTGATGTACTAGTTCAAAACATGCTTTGGTTATGCCATATATAGACCACAATTGTAACAGCTACAGTTGAATGTTAAAATGTCTAGTTTCATCAGCTCGACAAAGTGAGAACGTTGAATTTGCAGTTCTGTTTCCATAATCAACAGTCACCTTGTATTCACCTAAGAATCCAGAGAAGCTATATGCGCCATGTTCATCTGTATGGCCTTCCAAAACCCCTGTTTGCCATTCTTTCAAAAGCTTATCAACCACATCACCAGCAGGGAGATTACGGAATTCATTGTCAGTAAGGCACATCCGGTAACAACCATTTGGATGTATGGCAGTCCATAGCATTATCCCATTTACAGAGGGATGTGAGAAGCTCTCTCTCAGAACTTCTTCTAGATAAACAGCCTGTAAAGGAAACAAATAAAATGATATTCCACCGCAGTAAAAGAAGCACCTTTTTTTATTTCTATAAAAGTGTGGCCTTAAAGACATTCCTCTATACATAAGTTTGAATTTTGGTATATTAAAATAAAATAAAAAATTAGAGTTACCAAATTCAATTTATCTACCGTGAAACTGGGAACACAAGTGACAATATACTTGCTCACCCGCACTTCCTGCTTGGGAACTATTTTGCTGATATCAATCTCTGTAAGCCAAATAGGAAGCCTTAGCGTAGCCAACTTGTCTAGAACGGCTCTCATTAGAGGACGGTTAGGCACTCCGAAGTGACCCTCTAGACCGATTCCATCCATTGACACTCCAGCTCGTTCGAGTTCTCTTATCCACGAAATGTAGCCGTCCACACTGGTTTTATTGTCACTACAAGTCTCCACAACATTAAATTCGTTCAGAAACAGCGTTGCCAATGGATCTGATTGGCGTGCTGTCTCAAAGAAATGCAAGGAGGCATTAGGACCAAGCTTTTGCTCAAAGAAATCAAAATGAAGATTTTCATTGCTAACATCCCAGTGTATGAATTCTTCTCTATATTTGCTCATTAAACTTTCTATACGGGAGTCAACGGCTGATTGCAGCTCAGACCTTGTTAGTTTAACAACCCATGCAGGAATTAACTGAGGGTCCTCCCAGAAGATATTGTGTCCTCTGGCAATAATTTTGTTTGCTCGGAGAAATTCCAACATCTGGTCTGCTAAAGTGTAGTTGATCTGTCCCTGTTTAGGTTCTGTAGTGTACCACTTGAGTTCATTCTCGAAAACTGCTGCATTGAATCTCTCGACAAACCAGTTCTGAAACAATTCAAGGATTTTATTGTTTTAGCTTTCAATGTAAATATGATCATGGGGTACATAAAAATGGCTCCGAAAATATTAGAATGGATGAGCTTCATGAAAGGACCATAATTATTTTTAATTAAGTAATAGCTTAGTTAAGGACTGCTTTCCGAGTCAGAATCTCTTTCCCTTTGTTGAAATATAATGCTTTGATTCTGAATCTTCCTAAATGATTAATCTAATATATATATATATTAAACATTAGTTATAGATAGCTGAGAATTGAGATGTAGCTAATCCATTGCAGTTACCTGATAAGGCTTATTGCCAATGATAGTCCCGGCTATGGCAGATCCAAATGGGAAGTCTTTAGACACTTGCTCTACTCTAACTACTGCTCCTTTCAACCTATCTCCAAGTTCATCAGACACATGGATTGTCACAGCACGCTTCCTTTCCTGTAAAACAAGAAAATTTTGGTATTGCTTGATTTTATTCATAAATGTAGTCCCTTTTTTTAATTGGAAAAGACAAGAAAATTAGAATCTCATAAGATTTTAAAAAACTAAATAGGATGTTATATAGACTTATATATTCCTTTCATTGACAGCCTTCTTTATGGCAATCAACTAAAGCATAAAAAATATGAATGTTTGTAGCATTTACAGTGTTTATTATGTACTGCTGATTCATTCCCCACTGCTGCTCAGTAAATTGCTGTAAAGAAGCCCCTGCAATTTCTATACCAATGTCTGTGTCATCTGAATTCTGCAATGGAAATAAAGAAAAGATAAAACTAAAACTTGGCCTTGTAGAATATTAATATCTGTTGCCAACCCTCTAATTCTTCTTTGATTCTACACAGGTACTAAGCCAATGTTGGTAAACTTAATTCATTGGAGCAATATGTTTGGGGCCTGAATAGGTCCTCTGTGCAGAAAGAAGTTAAAAATTGGATCAGTAAAAATTCACTCAATTTGGTTTACTTATTGGAAACCATGGTTAAACCTGCAAGAAAGGAGTGTTATTAAAAAAATAATAAAATAATTGGACATGGTCTATTAATTTGCAAAGTCATCCTTTGGGCCGAATTATAGTTGGTTGGAATTCAAAATTTTACAAGGTTTAAGTTCTTCATGAAGGAGATCAGTGGATGCCTTTGAAAGTTTATCATGTTGAGGCAGGAACTGGTTTTTCATATCCCCAGTTTATGCGGCCAATCAAATGGTTCAGAGAAGGAAATTATGGGAGGTTTGAGATATTGTCATACTTTGGTCAATGACCCCATGGGCTGTTATAGGAGATTGGAATGTCATCAGATATCAAAAAGAGAATAAAGGAGGAGTGTCAGTTCCTAAAGGCATTATAGATGAATTCAACAATAGTTTATCTGCACGCAATTGAGTTAATGAATCACCCGATGATAAATGGGGACTGGACCTGGTGTAATAGACAGGCTACGGGTAAAAAGATCTATGCTCAATTTTCCAAACTCCAAGGTTTTATCGACATCTGCAGGTATTTCAGACCATGATGCAATGGTGCTGCAGTCTTGTGATAAAATTGCATTTAAAACCAAACCTTCAAGTATCTAAAGGTTTGGTGTTTATAAGAGGGAATAAAGCAGATTGTAAAGGAAACTTGGGATATTCAAATCAATGGTAATCCTATGTACATTCTAACCAAGAAGCTGCAGAGTGTCAAAGCAAAGGTTAAAGAATGGAATACCAAAGTGTTTAGACATGTTAATATCCAAATATTAAAGATAGAGATTAGTTTGAAACTGTTCAAATGGCTCCCCAATCTGCCCCAAATGAAGCTGAGTTGTTTGTGGCCGAAAATGGAGCTAGAGCAAGATTAGAATGTGCATTGAGTAATGAAGAAGTTCTAACTGCTCAAAAAGCTAGAGTTACATGGCTTCCAGAAAATGATAGATGCTCAAAAAAAATTTATCAGAAAATTGCCCAACAAAGAGCTTATAATACTATATCTATCACTCAAGATGAGTCAGGGAACTGGATTAATGATATGGATAAAATTAGTGACTGTTTTGTTGCTTTTTATCAAGACCTGTTCAGCTATCATGATCAGTCAAATACCTCAGATATTGATATTCTTCCTAGAGGTTGCTTATCCCAAGAAGAAGCTCAGCTTTTGGAACCTATCACTATGGAAGAGGAGATTAAGGTTAACCCCAAGGGTTGGCTCAAGTGGGTAATTCACTTAGTCGTGGTGCCTCGGAAGCATCAGGTCTAAGGTTCGACTCCTCTTAAGTGCAAACAATTTCTTGGAGGGGGGAGTGTGACTAGGAAAACAACAAAGAAGAAGAGGAGATTAAGGGAGTTGCGGATCACCTAAGCCCCGATAAAAGCCCTGGCCCAGATGGTTTCCCTCCTTGATTCTTCCAACACTTTTGGGATATAGTGGGAAAGGAAGTGATCTCTGCAGTTCAATTTTTCTTCTGTCATCCCAGGTTGATAAAAGTATTAATTCCTCTTTCATTTGCTTGATTCCAAAAAAAAGATAAATGCAGGAAAACATCAGATTTCAGGCTTATATCTTTGTGTTCTACAGTGTATAAAATAATTAATAAGATCATGGCTAACACACTTGGTGTCTATCTACATAATCTGGTTGGGGGTGAACAAAAAGCCTTTATAAAAGGTAGAAGACTGCATGATAATATAATCATGGTGAATGAAATAGTTAGAGGCTTCAATTCTGTAACATCCCATCCCCCAATGGCTTTAAAGACCGACTTGCATACAGCTTATGACTCTATGTCTTGGCAATTTTTATTCAACCCACTTCAGAGCATGGGTTTTGGTAACAAATGGATAGGGTGGGGGAAAGAGTGTTTGTCCTCTCCCTGGTTTTCTGTCATCATAAATGGTTCCCCTGCTGGCTACTTCCAACCAAAGAGAGGTTTGAGACAAGGTTGCCCCCTCTCGCCTTTATTGTTTACTCTTATTACATAATATTTTTCTAATCTGGTTCATAAGGCAGTCCGTGAAAACAGAAATTCAGTTGTGTTCAGCAGTTAAATAGAAGGGTTTGGATTTCTCTCATTGTTTCTATGCAGATGATTTGGTTTTGATAAAGAAAAGGATAATTATAGTACTGCTAGAAACATTCTCAATGTGCTGCAAGTGTTTAAACAGAATTCTGGTTTATGCGTTAATCTGTAGAAGAGCCAAATAATTTTTTCAAATACAGTGAAAAGGAAGAGAGGTGTTTTGAGAATATTAAATATGAAATCTGGAAAACTTCCGTTCTCTTACTTAGGTCTTCTATGCTTGACAAAGGTGTGAAGAATAAGGATTTTGAAGAATAAGGATTTTAAGCGTTTGATTGACAAAATCTCTGCAAAGCTTAGCAGCTGGAATTCCTTGAATTTTTTCCTCGCTGGTAGGGTTGAATTAATCAGGACTGCGGCTTCTTCATTTTTATATCACTAGTGTGCTGCATTTAATTGAGGGATGGTTTGGGATAAGAAAGATCCTGGATATTGATAGAGCATCTAAATGCAAGTTGTTTTGGGATCTGGTTCAGAATAAAAATAACATGTGGATTACTTGGCTCAAAGCTGTTTATATCCAATCTCAGTCTACTTGGATTTGTAAACCAGAGAATCATCATTCTGCATTCTGGAAGAATCCGATTGATGTCAGAGAAATCATGGTGGCCAATTCTGAGTTTAGGATTGGTAATAGGATCTCCTTGAAGATCTTTCTAGATCCTTGGTGTCAAGGTACTTCTTTAATTCAGTCTTTTGGCTTTAATGTGGTTAGGCAATTTGATTTTCCTAAATATTGTTCTCTGAATCATATTATTCAAAATGGGAGTTGAGTGAAGCCTACTTATCTGTTGCCAGAAGCTAACAATATCTGGGACAAAATCTCTGCTTTGCCTATTCATCATGTAATCAGATTAAAGAAGGGTTCTCCAAGTTTTAAACTGTTCTGGAACTGCTGCAGATCTCATTCTTCCAAAAAAAAAAGTTGGGCAAAGCTTGTTTGTAATGGGGGTAGACCTGCTGCAAGCTTCTTGGGTTCTTTGATTTTACAAGATAAAATTCCTTCACTGGTTAACCTTCAGAAAAGAGGCATTACTGTAGTTTCAATATGTCATAATTGTCTGCAGGACTGGGATGATACTGATCACTAGTTTTTTAAATGTTCATTTGTGAAGATATGGCTGTGGCTAGCTGATCTATATCATTGGCAATGGAGAACTGTGGACTCTTCTGATCAGTTAGTGCAATGTTTTATCTCTAAATTAAAGAAAGGCCAAGAATATTAAATTGATGAGAGTAATCTTTACAGCTTCTATTTGGAGAATCTGGTGGAATAGGAATCAAATTCTTCACTCTGGTTCAGGTCTAAGTGCTGTTCAACTTGCTAATTAAATCGGTCATTTTTGAGGCATTGAATCTATTGAAAATTAATCTGAATGATATCTACAATTACGTGGAAGATTAATCCTCTACTGTTATATGGATTAGTGTTGTCTGTAGCTGACACTAAGTTTGTGTTCCTGATTTCTGGATCTTGTGTTCTGATGGGGTGTTATTGGGACTTGGGAGAAACAGTGTGTTGGGATATTATAGTGACCTCAAGGTTTACCTGCAGCTGCTTTGTTGAGTTCTTGGTGTCTAGTATTCAAGTCTTTCGTTTTTATTCCTTGTGTTTGGATTCCGGAAATGGGTTTTCGTTTTTATTCCTTATTATTATTATTATTATTATTATTTTGTATTGTACTGTAATGTGAGGATTCTCCCTCTTGTTTGTTTCCTGTGATGACTAATAAAATTGAATTTAGGAGGGAAAAAAGTGGTGAAAACATATTTACCTGAAATTTTAGGAAGGATATATTTGATGATGAATCTAATATAAATCCACCCTTCAGGAATGACCAGCAACCACGCCTAGCCACAACGTTCCCTATACATTCTAGTGTTGTATTCTCTGTCATCAGGCTGGCTCCTACAAGAGCTGAATCGGCACCATTTATCTTGACCCAAGCTGTTAAAGTCCAAAGATGAAACACTGTAAATAACTTATGATGCCTCCTGATAGCTATCGGCTTAAGCAGGAAAAAGCAGATGCATAGGGTTTACATTGAATGAGAACTGTGTTAAAAGGGGATCCATTCTGATAATATCAAAGACGGCCAATATTCTACAAAGATTGGTACATGTAAACTGTCACTACAAGAATAACATTATGTAGGTATGTGCAGGAGAAGCAATATGACTACAATCAAACAAGTTTAGGATAAGGGCACCTTAGTTGCTTTTGCAGTGTAACAAGTCAATGTCATACCGCATTCAAATGCAGTGTTACATAAAATCCTAAAATTGATCATGTATAATTATACAATTGTATTACTGGTAGTGATGATCACGGTCTAATCTCTGTTGGACAAATTTGAAGACACACTAGTAGCATCAATGGCAACACGAATTAAACCATGTTTAAGCCATTTTTGAATTAAACCATGGACTAATTCTATCAATGTTATGAGAGGAACTTGGAAAAATGAACTCAACTGGAAAAGCAGTAAATGGTGCCTTGGGTGAGATGTTGCAATGGAATTCCTGTTCCATTGTTTCCAATATTTGGTGTAAAATCTGGAACGTAATCTTTGAGGATCCCTCCATCATAAAGTGGCTTTTCCGGATGTTCTTTACACTGTTTACCAATAAAAATCATGAAGCTAGTTGAATTGCTATGACATAAATATGAGTTGAATTGCTTGATTTTCCAATCTATATATATATATATCAGATGAAACTCTGATAACAAGTTAAAAATGCATCTTTTTCACCTCTGTGTAAGCAGTAGAATCGTACAATGGCCCCTCTGCAGTTTGAGAACACAAAAATTGAAACACATTAACAAAATTTCATAATATTTACATTGTTGTATGAGAGAGAGAGAGAGAGAGAGAGAGAGAGAGAGAGAACCATAAGGTGAAGCCATGGGAGAACCATAAGGTGAAGCCATGGAAGAGCCAATAAGGAGAACAAGAACCAAGAGGCAAAAAAATTGAGGGTCTGGCATACTCTTTTCTGTTTACACTAGGATGCTGCAAAAATGTAAATAAATAAGAATTACGTTTTGTGAATAAAATGATTAATTATTTACCTCTATTATAGAACTACTCTTAAGAGAACTCCAAGCCACAAGTTCTCCACATTTAACCAAATTAATAGTCAAATGATTCATTTGACTTCGAATAAATAAAATAAATTTTACACATTGAGATGAAATGAAAGTAAAAAATTACACCAAATATTATAAGGTTACCATTATTTCAAACTTGTAGAGTGAATAAATAATAAACATAATTACATTAATAAAAACAAATAAATATATAATGGAAATAGCGTAAAGAAAATTTTGGTCTGATATGAAGAGGCGCCTCAGCAAGCAACCTGTCCTAAAGTCTTTGTAGCCTTCTGGCCTTCCCTACGTGCACACAGGGATGGACAACACAGACACTAAGCTCTTAGCCAAATGTCCTTGTCTTGTCGCCCATAAAATATGTAAATGGGTGAGAATAAAGAAAATAAAAAGTGAAGAAACAAAACAAAAGACAAATCTAAAATTCTACTCGAAAACTCGGCTTATATAGGTAATGCCTAAGGCTTGAAACCGCCAAATTAAATTGACCCAATGAATCACATAAATAGCCAAAATAAATAGGCTAACATAAATTGACCCAATAACATCAAAATAAATAGGCAACTAACATAAAAACTAAATAAGCTCAGTATAAAACTTATGCAATAAAGATGTTTTACAAACTTGTCAAATTCCAACAAAAATTGCCTACTTCTCACAATTTACATTGGGTTGAACTTCACCTTCCAAATGCAAAGCTATTCAAATTTCAAACAGCCAACGTAGTCTAACTAAAGAAGAATCACATGCTTTGAAAGGCCTCCACCCTTAATTTTGCTAGCTACTCATTTTCCAGACTTCATTGAAAGCCCTCCTGACTTGATTTCTTGAGCATTAATTTCCATGCGATCATATTTCATTTCAATGGTAATAAGTTAACTTTCTAAATTGAAAAAGAACATAAAGAACACAATTAGACATAGATTAGTGATCAAATTCATACTATTGCCTAACAAGTTATCAAGTAATTAATTATGCATGCGCATGGTCAAGCTTCTCAATTCTAAATACATTATACTTTAGAATTTAAGCTGTTGTACGTCAATTCCCGTACTTTTCTACACACTAGCTGTATTAGAAGTATTTAGCAAAAGAAAAAGAAAAACCATGGAATTAAACTACCAGAAATGTTACCTTGGTAGCTCCTATGTAACCCAAAATCTATTGAAGTGAAGACTTTAATCTATCACAGCATGTCTTATCTACTCGCCACAGGGAACCTGTCATTTATTGCTTGGAAATTCTATGGATGGGATACACTTTTAATGGAGAAATTCTTAGAAGTTCTCCATTAATCTTATATTGCATAGCATGCCTAAAAGAACAGTATCTACAAGTGATGTGGTTCAAAATATGAAATGTTGGAGCCGGCAGATTTCTGAAACTTCCCCCATGTTTTAGTTCTAAATACATTCTCCCCTTCTGTTAGGGTAGAGAGTTAACAGATCTCTCTATACTGTCTAAAGGAACTCTACTTTGAATGGTGATCTGTGTAATTTTGTTAAAACTAAAGGGTATCTGTAAATTAAGCAAACCTTAGAAGAGGGTGCAATTTACCTTATTCTTTATTATTATTATTATTATTTTTCATTTTTGCATATTGAGGATCACTATAGTGTGAACTCTTGGACTAAGGACAGCCTATGTTATGAATGATCAGATGGTTCATTAAATTACCAATTTGGTACACAATCGCAATGCAATAATCAGACAGAGAGGACAGGTTTCTATGGTATAACTGGGAACTTAGTACCTTCCTTAGAAGGCACTCCAAAATACTAAAGACAGAACAATTAAAGGAGTAAAGGTTGGAGTTTCCAAGAAAGCTAACTATAATAGTTCAAGAGAAACACATCTGAAAGGCAAGGAAATTGATTTATCATTAAAAAAAATTAAAAAAAAAGAGAGATTGAAGCAGAAGAATTTTGTTCTACAAGAATTTAAAACTTGGAGCTGTGCCACACGACTGGAACCAAGCTCAGATGAACTTTTACTACTCAGTGGCAGCATTCAAACTAGGTAGGCATACCTTCCCCTCTCAGACTTTGGTTCAAAATTTGTTAATGCATTTGATTTGATCTTAAGGAATGCTTGATTCCGTAGACCTCACATCTCACCATCCTCTAAATATCTCTTTTAAAACTTCAACTGCATTTCAATGGTTAATATATATATCCCCATCTTGGCCTGGATGTTTTCATATGCCAGATCTAAGGTGACATGCTCAAAGATATCCTAGGTAACATGGCTTACCATCTTCAAAACTTATGCACATATAAAAGTATTGTTTGAAGCAGCAGTTTGAATTCAGGACAATATATACCTGAAGATTAGACACAACAATCAGGAGAAATTAAGACATCAGCTTCCAATATATATTAAGGCCTATTAACTATTGTTCTATGATCACCTTTGTTCGTTCTTTCAGAATGTCACTTGAATAGGCCATAAGAAATTAATTTGGTAGTGTACTATTTCCAAAGTGGAGACATTTTAATTTTAAAAAACATGACTTATTTTACTGCCTGAGGAAACTTTTGATTCCATATATATTGCATGGAGAATCTACATAGAGAAGAGAAGTTCACAGAAGATCAAAAACTTCAACAGAATCAACTTATATTCCATAACCGAACTTCCTCAAAAATAATATTGCATAGCATTTATAAAGATACAGGAACATCTCCATACTGTTAGTGATGTACTAGTTCAAAATATGATTTGGTTATGCCATTTATAGGCCACAATTGTAACTGCTACAGTTGAATGTTAAAATGTCTAGCTTCATCACCTCGAGAAAGTGAGAACGTTGAATTTGCAATTCTGTTTCCATAATCAACAGTCACCTTGTATTCACCTAAGAATCCAGAGAAGCTGTATGAGCCATGTTCATTTGTATAACCTTCCAAAACCCCAGTTTGCCATTCTTTTAAAAGCTTGTCAACCACATCACCGGCAGGGAGATTACGGAATTTATTGTCAGTAAGGCACATCCGGTAACAACCAAATGGATGTTGGGCAGTCCAAAGTATTATCCCATTTACAGAGGGATGTGAGAAGCTCTCTCTCAGAACTTCTTCTAGGTAAACAGCCTGGAGAAGCAAATAAAATTATATTTCACCACAGTAAAAGAAGCTCTTATTGAGTTCTATAAAAGTGTGGCCTTTTAGACATTCCTCTATACTTAAGTTTGAATTTTGGTACATTAAAATAAAAGACAACATCAGAGTTACCAAATTCAATTTATCTACTGTGAAACTGGGAACATAAGTGACAATATACTTGCTCACCCGTACTTCCTGCTTGGGAACCATTCTGCTGACATCAGTCTCTGTAAACCAAATCGGAAGCCTTAGCGTAGCCAACTTGTCTAGAACGGCTCTCATTAGAGGACGGTTAGGCACTCCGAAGTGACCCTCTATACCTATTCCACCCATTGACACTCCACCCCGTTTGAGTTCTCTCATCCGCGAAATGTAGGTGTCCACAGTTGAGTTTATGTCAGCACAATTCTCCACAACATTGAAATCGTTCATAAACAGAGTTGCCAATGGATCTGATTGGTGTACTGTCTCGAAGAAATGCAAGGTGGCATTATGGCCAAGCCTTTGCTCGTAGAAATCCCAGTGAAGATTTTCATTGCTAATATCCCAGTGTATGAATTCTTCGCTATATTTGCTCATTAAACTTTGTATACGGGAGTTGACAGCTGTTTGTAGCTCAGAACCTGTAAGGTTACGAACCCATGCTGGCATAAACTTAGGGTCTTCCCAGAAGATAGTGTGGCCTCTTGCCATAATTTGGTTTGCTCGAACAAATTCCAACATCTGGTCTGCTAAAGTGTAGTCGATCTGCCCTGGTTTAGGTTCTGTAATGAACCACTTGAGTTCATTCTCGAAAACTGCTGCGTTGAATCTCTTAACAAACCAGTTCTGAAACAATTCAAGAAATTTATTGTTTTAGCTTTCAATGTAAATGGGGCACATAAAAATGGTTTCAAAACCATTACAATATTCTATTAGCATTAGCTGGTTAAGGCCTGTTTTACTGGGTAGAGTCTCTTTAATTCACTGCAGTTACCTGATAAGGCTTATTTCCAATAATAGTGTTGGTTATGGCAGATCCAAATGAGAAGTCTTTAGACACTTGCTCTGCTCTAATTGCTGCTCCTTTCAACCTATGTCCATGATCATCAGACACATGGATTGTCACAGCACGCTTCCTTTCCTGGAAAAGATTCTTGGTTTTGTTCATAAATGTAGCCCCTTTTGTGCTTACAAAGGGCGTGCTTTTACAGCGGAGGATGGATTCAAGCCATTTCAAATAAAGACGAGTAATAATAGTTCTTTATTGTGTTGTGAAGAAACGAGAGAGAAAAAAAAAAAAAAAAAAAAAAAAAAAAAAAAAAAAAAAAAACAAGAAAAATAGAATCTCATAACATTTTAAAATTTTGGAAAGGATGTTATATAGACTTAAATATTATTTTCATTGGCTGCCTACTTTATGGCAATCAACTGAAGCATAAAAATGTGAAAGGTTGCAGCATTTACAGAGTTTATTCTGTACTGCTGATGCATTCTCCACTGTTGCTCAGTAAATGGCTGCAAAGAAGCCCCTGCAATTTCTATATTGATGCCTCTGCCATCTGAATTCTGCAACAGAAAGAAAGAATAGATCAAACTAAAGTTTGGCCTTCTAGAATATTTGTATAATTTGTCATCAACCCTCTAGTTCTCCTTTGAACCTCCACATGAAATAAGCCAATATTTGTGAAGTTAAATTCATTGGGACAATATGGTGAAAACATTTAATTTACCTGAAAGTATAGTAAGGATATATTTGATGATGAATCTAATACAAATCCACCCTTGAGGAATGACCAGCAACTGCGCCTGGCCACAACCGTCCCAATACATTTTTCTGTTGTATTCTCTGTTGTCAGGCTGGCTCTTACAAGAGATGACTCGGTACCAGATATCTTGACCCAACCTGTTGAAGTCCAAAGATGACACACACTATAAATAACTTGTGCCTCCTGAGAGTTAATGTCCACACCACCACCAGGAAGCTATCTAAATAATTAGCCCTTGAAGTAGCACGTACCTCAAGTCCATAACAATTACCAAAGTTTGTAGCTTCATGGGACTTCCTCACCTTTCAAAGTAGAAGGTCGAGAGTTGAGTCCCCACACATGGACAAAGTGAGTGTGCGGATTTCTTGCCACGATAAAATTAAAAATTGAGGATCATAACAATTTGTTTGGCTATTCAATCTTAGTCTACTTTAAAACTACCATTTATTTGAAACAATGTCACAAAATTTTCCAAGGTGCAAAGATTATGAAATAAAATGGATTTGAGTGGACAAAATCATGCAACCAGGCTGATCAACAAGTACAGATTATGAAATAAGAATGAAGAGGCATAGGAGCAAGATTAAACAGGCACTACAAATATTAAGACAGTGTACATAATGTGCAGGAAGAGCAATGTTGGATCATATGACTACAATCAAACAAGCTTAGGCTAAGGGCACCATAGTTTCTTTTGCACACACCGCTTTCAAATGCAGTATCATTACACCATTACTGGTAGTCATGACCGCGCTCTCTGTTGCAATGCAAAGTGGAAGATGCAAGTAGCATCAATGGCAACGCGAATTAAACCACTTTTGAGCCATTGAATAACATTGTGTACTGCAGGAGGAGCACCGTAGTTGCTTTTGCAGTGTAACATGTCAATGTCACACCGCATTGAAATGCAGTGTTACATAAAATCCTAAATTGATCGTGTATCCTTTATACAATTCATTACTGGTAGTCATGACCACGCTCTAATATTCTCTGTTGGACAAATTGGAAGACACTAGTAGCATCAATGGCAACGCGAATTAAACCATGTTTAATCATAAATTGATCATGTATCATTATGGACTAATTGTATCAATGTTATGATAGGAACTTGGAAAAATGAACTCAACTGGAAAAGCAGTAAATGGTGCCTCGCGTGAGATGTTGCAATAGGAAAGCAGGAACTCCTTTGCTTCCAATTTTTGGTGTGAAATCTGGAACCCGATCTTTGAGGATTCCTCCATCATAAAGCGGCTCTTGGGGTTGTGCTTTACACTATTTATCAATAAAATCATGAAATCAAAATCTACTACAAGTTTGTTAATACTTAATCTGAATAGCACTCAAAATCCAATTGAGAAAGTTAGATACTAATAACAACGGATGCATGTGTAGCTTCATAAGTTAATCTAAAAATTAACTTTAATTGTAATCCAAAATTCTATAACAAAAGTTCTACCCATGATTCTTTGTTAAAACAGAGAAACGAAAATGGGAAAAAAAGAAGAAAATTTTGCAGTTAAAAAAAAAAAAAAAAAAAAAAAAAATTGAAACCCATTAAAAAATTGAAACCCTTTAAAAATTGAAACCCATTTTCACCTCTATGTAAGCAGTAGAATCGTACAGGGGCCCCTCTGCAGTTTTTGAACACGAAAATTGAAACCCATTAAAAAATAATAATAATAATCCTAATATTTATATTGTGTGTATTAGAGAGAGAGGGAGGGAGGGAGGGAGAGAGAGAGAGAGAACCATAAGGGGAAGCCAAAGAAGGGCCAATGAGGAGGATAACAACCAAGGGGCACACAAATGGAGGGTCTGGCATACTCTTTTCTGCTTAGACTAGGAACCTGCAAAACAATAAAGAACAAACATTATGTTACGGCAGTGAAATGAGTAAATATACAGTTTACCCAAACAAAAAAACACAAAAACAATTTTTATCGAAAGGTTCCTTTTTTATTATTATTATTATTATTATTATTATTATCTTTATCTTGTCAATAAACTTAAATACGCATATATGGAGACTTTGAACTCTGGACTCTTTTACTTTGAAAAGTTGAAAAGGCTGCTGCGCAAAACCTCTAATAGTTAAGAATTTGGCAGAAAAACAGTTTATATCAGCAGCAAGGTTGCTAAGTTTTGTAAATCATATCATTTCCAATTAAACTAGAGTCTTGTTTGGTCGAAACGAATTAGTCTAAATTACTATGAAAAATTGTGTCAACCGGCCCATATGACCTTTTAGGGGACCAATCAGACTCTAAAATCATCCACAGTGTGTTCTGCATTAGATTCTAACTAGCTACAGAGCCATGCATGTCCAGTTTCCAATCTTATTATTGAAAGCAACTAACTTGTAACATACAATGTCAGAGAAGGTATATGCATCTAGACCTGTTTCATAATTGTTACAGATATTTTTCACAATTATATAATTTCACACTTTTAAACAGCATGGAGTAAATAACACAAATTTTACACACTGAGATGAAAATAGAAAAATCCACCAAATATTATATGATTACCAATATTACAAAGAATAAATAATAAACATAAAAGAAATAAATAAAAGTAAATAAACATATGATGAAAATAGTATAAAGAAAATTCTAGACCTGCAAGGATGATGTTACAAAGACTTTGTAGCGTCCCTGTATACTATGGAACCACAAAATCTCCAAGATATAACATCAAACTCTCAGCTAAATGTCCTCATCTTATTGCCTAAAATTGCAAATAAGTGGAAATAAAGGAAAATAAAATGTGAAGAAACAAAACAAGAGTCAAACCTAAAATTCTTCTCTCAGCTTATACAGCAAATCCCAAGTCTTGTAACCGTCATATTAAATTGACCCAATAAATCACATAAATAACCCAAATAAACAGGTCAACATAAATAGGCCTAATAAAATCAAAATAAAAAAGGCTCAATATTAAACTTATGTAATTAAGAAGTTTTAAAAAAAACTCTTCAATTTCCAACAATAACGGCCTACTTCTCACAACTGACATTGGGTTAAAATCACAATTTCTCTGTACTTTCAAATAAAATTTGTATAAAATTACTAAAAAAAAAAAAAAAAAATGGAAAAAAACAAACAAACTACTGAATTTAAAAAAAGTTAGCTCTGGATCCATTAGGTCGGTATGAAATGACCAAATTAACTTTATGATGTAATGTAAAATTTAAATACCTAAAATTTAAACACTATAAAATAAAAATATATTTTTTGAAAAATATTTTATGTCCAAATAAACGGAGCAGACGTAAAATTCAAATACCTAAAATTGCTATTATGCAGATTACAAATGTACCCTTTGTGGCATTCATTGTTGAGGCATAAACGATGAGGTTTTAAATAACAATTTTAACTCTATTAAAGGCAAATTTTAATGTCATTGACTCATTGGTGTCTCCGAAAGTAAGCTTTGTGTTACGCCCCGCAACCAAGAGGCTACGCCACGCAGGCACCACGCAAACGATGACATGGAGTCTGCATGGACCGGAGCTTTCTAGACTTCTCTACACAAGTATGGAACTTTCCGGAATTCTCTAGAGTAGTGTGGAGTTGTCTAGCCTTTTCTGGACTTGTGTAGAGTTGTATAGAATTCTCTAGGCTTGTCTTGTACATTTTATATAGTTCTAGAATTGTGTAGATAGTTCTTTGGAGGATTCTAGACACTTATTCTAGGCCACACATTTGTGTACACATCTAGAATATTCTTGTAAGGGCCAAAGGCCTATAAATAGGAAGTGGGAGTTCATTTGCTCCTCACCAAGCAACCAAGTTGTAATCTTCTCCTCTCAAGTAATACAAGTGTTCATACTTTCACCCAAACTCTCTTGTTCACTTGCTTAGCTCTCTTCCTACATACCCACTTGTAAGCAAAGCACTTGTCTAGCCTTAGTCTTCACTAAGCTAGCACACTCGGGTAAGCTGACTTAGCACTTTAAGGGCGCTTGAACGTGTCTAAGGCTGCATATGAGCTTGGAAAGGTCCAAGTCCATGACAGTTGGTATCAGAGCTAAGGTCGTGAGGCGTCACACCTTGTATAGAGGAAGCTATGGCGGAGCACTCAGACGTGGTTAATGTCCCAGAGGAGGAGCTGCGTGGAAGGGATGATACTCGTTTTCCAATCGGATCGAGGACGAGGGCTAGGTCAAAAGACATCGTTGCGGGCTTTGAGGCACGCTTGGCAAGCATGGAGGAATCCATGGCCAATGTGAAGGGGTAGCTTGAGGATGCTCACCAGCGCATGGACGAGCTGGAGTCGGAGGACGCTGAGGTCCAGAATGCTGTAAAAGGGTCACTCAATGCCCTAAGTGGTGACTTTCGGTAGGAGCTCCAAGCGCTTCAAGAACTTATGTTGGGCGAGTTTGCCACCCTACGTGGCTATGTTGATTGGGAGCTTGGCACCTTCCGCGAGCAAATGGAGGAAATGCGAGCGGACTGGGCATTGTGCAAGCGGGCAGTGGCGTCCGGCACAGTTACTACGAGGGTAGTAGCACCCCAGGTTGACATTCCCAATCCTAAGTGCTATGGTGGGAACCGAGTAGCGAGGGAGTTGGAGAACTTCCTCTTCAGTATGGAACAGTACTTTGAGGCTATGGGCATGACAGATGAGACCATCAAGATATGCACGGCGACCCTTTACCTCACCGACCATGCCATGCTATGGTGGAGGAAAAAGTATGGTGACATGGGCAAAGGTACAGTTTCTATTGATACTTGGGCTAATTTCACAAGAGAAATTAAGAAGCATTTCTATCCTGAAAATGCCGAGGACAAAGCCAAGAGCAGGCTCCGAAGGCTAAAACAGGTTGGGTCGATTCAGGACTATGTGAAGGAATTCACTAACCTAACTCTTGAGATCCCGAATCTATCTGATAAGGACTCTCTTTTCTTTTTCATGGATGGATTGCAGTTGTGGGCCAAAACGGAGTTAAGGTGGCGCAACGTGCAAGACCTTGCCACAGCTATTGTAGAGGCAAAGTCCTTTATTGAATTCAGCTCCAAGAAGAACCCCTCGTCCAAGCTGAAGGACAAAGACAAGGACAAGGACAGGGGGTGTAATGTTGGCAAAGGTAGGGGAGACAAGGGTGCTACACCACAGAAGGATTGGTCCCGTAAGCCAAGTAGTGGCCATGGTGGTAAAGAGGGAAGGGATAACAAGGATGGAACATCCAAACCCAAGGGTTCGTGCTTCCTACATGACGAGGCACATTGGGTGAGAGATTGCCCAAAGAAGAAGACCCTCAATGCCATGACAAGCCACTATGAAGAGCATCAACAAGAGAAGGCGCAGATGGGTTTGTTGCAAATCCTTAATGCCATCAAGGCTAAGATGGAAGTCCCTAAGGCGGCGGCTAAGAGGCTAATGTTTGTGGAGGCGAGCATCAATGAGACACCCACACGTGCTTTAGTGGACACGGGTGCATCCCCAACTTTATGAGCATTGATGAGGCCAAGAGGTTAGACCTCAAGTATAGCAAAGAAGGGGGCTCCATGAAGGTAGTCAACTCGGCGGCAAAAGCTATACAAGGCATGGCACGTGGCGTCGAAGCATGCATTGGCGAGTGGGGTGGCCACATGGACCTATCAGTGGTACCCATGGACGACTTTAAGCTAGTACTTGGGTTGGAATTCTTAGACAAGGTGAGAACCTTCCCCATTCCTTTTGCTAACACTATGTGTATCATGGAAGGCAACACAGCATGCATGGTGCTGGTAGAGCGAGGTGCCAAGTTGGAAGCCCAAGCCTAGTTAGCTATGCAATTCAAGAAGAGCTTCAAGAAGGGAGAGACTAGCTACCTTGCTACGTTGCTGGAGACACCTGATGATGAGCTTGTCCCTTCCCCATAAGAAGAGGTGCCTAAGGAGATACGAGCCATGCTAAACGAGTACATGGATGTGATTCCTAAGGAGTTACCCAAAAAGCTTCCACCTAGGAGGGAGATGGATCATAAGATTAAGTTGGAACTGTGTTCTAACCCCCCTGCTTTAGTGCCCTGCCAGATGGCACCCCTAGAGTTGGAGGAGTTACGGAGGCAACTTAAGGAGTTATTAGACGCGGGCTACATTCGACCCTCGAAGGCCCCATATGGCGCACCGATGTTGTTCCAGAGGAAGAAGGATGGGTCCTTGCGCATGTGCATTGATTACCTAGCGCTCAACAAGGTGACTATCAAAAACAAGTACCCCGTATCTCTCATTGCCGATCTTTTTGATCAACTCAGTGGAGCACGCTACTTCACTAAGCTAGACTTGCGCTTGGGGTACTACCAGGTGCGGATAGCGGACGGGGATGAGCCTAAGACTATATGTGTGATGAAGTATGGCTCTTATGAGTTCCTTGTTATGCCATTTGGTCTCACCAATGCCCCTGCTACTTTTTGTACTTTGATAAACAAGCTCTTTCATCCCTACTTGGATCGTTTTGTGGTGGTGTACTTCGATGATATTATTGTGTATAGCACCACTCTAGAGGAGTACATGCAACACTTGAGGGCGGTCTTCCATGTCTTACGGGAGAACGACCTATATGTGAAGACGGAGAAATGCTCTTTTGCCTAAGAGGAGGTGTTGTTCCTAGGGCATAAGATACGGGATGGCAAGCTGATGATGCATGAGGCAAAGGTGAAGGCCATTCAAGAGTGGAAGCCACCCACTAAGGTGACAGAGCTACGCTCATTTCTTGGGCTTATCAACTACTACCGCCGCTTTATCAAGGGTTACTCGGCCAGGGCAGCCCCATTGACAGACCTTCTCAAGAAGGCGCGTGCTTGGAGTTGGACAGAGTCATGCCAGGGGGAATTTGATGACTTAAAGAGGGCAGTTACAGAGGAGCCGGTACTTAGCTTGCCCGACCACTCCAAGCCATATGAGGTGCACATTGATGCATCAGACTTTACTATTGGGGGCCTGTTGATGCA